AGAACAACATACTTAGGCAACCTAAACAAATGGGTAACAGGGAAAGATCAGGGAAACGTAGCTTTTTTGAGAGCATCCGAGCAAAGGAATGAATGGAAAACCATGATCGCCGATGTCTGTCGCAGATCTGGCACTGGATGATGATGATGATGATGATGGTGATGATGATGATGATGATGATGATGATGATGGTGATGATGATGATGATGATGATGATGATGATGATGATGATGAAATGCGATGGTAAAGCACTACAAAACGCTTAACAACGCCAACTGCTTCAACAGAAACACAAATGAACCTGTACATTCCACCTATTCTACCGCACTCGATTCCCCCTACACTAGGAGAATGATATGAATAACTGATTGAAAACTCAAGCCTTTTCAAGATACCGATCTTAGAAGTAGAACGATGGAAAGAGAGATGAGGTGAGCACCGTATCTCTGGACTAACGAACCCCTCCGAACAGTCCTACATCTCTGATATAACACGGAACATAACACAAGAAACACATGAAAGACCGAGGAATAGACCACGTCCAAATTCGGGGTGTACATGTTTTTAATTAATAAACATTTGATGATAGAAAATACAAATATAATGTACAAGTTATAAGAAAATGGCACTGGCATGTCCCACGCAAAATTGGACCAAGGCGGAAATATACCACATTTCATTCTCGACTCAATACTGGCATTCATGTAGGCAGGGTAGCAAAAGACAAAAGACATAGCATTTAAAATCTGAGTTCCTGTGGTTTGAGATCTGACTGAGCGCTAGCTTTTACCTATTCAGTGTACAGTAGAATAAATCTTATTTTCTTTTCTTTAGAAATAAAATAATGCCCAAGCTCTAAATAGAAGAAAGATTGTGGGCATATAAGTCATACGATTTCGAAGTAAATTTTGAGACATGAAGTTGATCCCAAGTGCAACTGAATCTAAAGTTTCTAATAAGATTTTTAAGAGGTACTTATTGTCTTAGAGCAGAATCTTTGAGGGTCTGCTGTCCTCAGCGTACTCGTACTCACGCGGTAATAGAACAGATAGTTTCAATAAAAAAGCTCTGTCCAACCAGATGAGTAATTATGTAGCAAAGCAGAGAATGATTTAGGTTTAATTTTTGTTTGCAAGGTTTCAGTGGGTTCAGCGCACCCAAGCATGACACTATTTCACACGTGCAGCCATTTAAATGTGGATGATCTAATTGAACGAACTGTGGAGCCAGTTAGACATCTAGTGATAAGTACAAACATATTGAGAAACATATTCATGCAAAATGTCCAGTTTATGTTTAAAGTACAGGCATATGTGTAAATCTATCATCACTCTGAAAAGTTGCTATCTTAGAATTACAAAGTTCTGTCTGATATTTTTGACCGTTGTGAGTTCTTAAGATCTAGAGGCCAGAAAGCAAATGTTCCATCTGCTCCGTCAAAATCGCAAAAATATTTGGAGTTGTGCATTCGAAAAAGCTTGACGTATTGTGAAACCCAAAAGCATTTACGTCAAATTTTTCCAAGCTAGGTGTTGAACAGATAGAACTTTGTAATTCTGAAATAGTGAAGTATTCATAAAGAAACCGATGTCTTGTAAAGGCCTCTCAAAATGCACATTGGAACAGTTTTTTATTTTAGAAAATGAGGAACACAGGAACAGCATGAGCTTTCGTCTGTAAGTAGCTCAATGGGGCTACATGAGAACTACTGCAGTCCATGAATATCAGGATGGGCTTTAATAGAGGAAAGAAGACGCACATATTTGAAACCATTTACACAAAGTACACTCTCACACCATATATCTCTCACAGGTTTTTATCATGCGGTTTTTAATTTAATAACTTGATTAACGAAGTATAAGCATATCAAAAAGAAGTTGAAAAGTACGCATGTCAAAGCTAGAAATGCCATTAAAAAAAGATGATTAAGCGTGAACTACAGCAAACTTTACACCAAACCAAGATGCAAGGCGAAAGATCAGCAATGTCTTATTCTTTTTTTGCCAATAATTTTTCTCTTTATACCGATCATGACACAAAAACTATCATAAGAAGCAAACAACAAATTTACAACACAACACACTTATTAATTTATATCAAAACATCTCACTTCATATTTTCTGTCTATTCGTCCACATCTTCTCTCTCTCTCTCACTCTCTCGCGCTCTCTCGCTCTCTCTCTCTCTCTCTCTCTCTCTCTCTCTCTCTCTCTCTCTCTCTCTCTCTCTCTCTCTCTCTCCCCACATACATTCCAATCATAAAACAAAATAACATGCCTGTACAATTTCGTTTGCTTAAGCAGGTGTATACATCAGTTCTCATTATAACTGCCTCCTTGCCTCTCTGTCTCTGCTTCAGGCACACTTTCTCTCCAACACTCGTACTCATACGCACCTAAATCAGAACAAACTGGTTATTGTAAAACAGCAGAAATAGAGCGACACTCACATAGTATCCATGAAAAGGTTAGGATTTGACTAGCTTATTTTTGTTACATTAAGAAAGCCGAAATTTGTTCGATTATTATTATCAGAAATGACATTTATAATCATTGTAAGAATGAGTTCTTTAAAGTGGCTTAGGATTGGAATCTATACAATTTTAACTTTAGAATACAAAAAGTTCTGATGGAAGGCTAACGAAATAACAGACAGGAAGAATTCAGGTAATTGGCATTTTTAAGTGAAAATTTCATTTTTTTTTCAATTAGGTATAAATTTAATGAAGCAAGTGTTGACAGTGTACTTTGGCAAGATAGAGATAAAAAGTACAAGTGCAACAGAATGCGTACTTGGAATTGAAGCACGCGAAACGATGCAGCCAATATTACATCCGGAAATGGAGGATATGTTTGTAAAAACCCTAGGGTCTTATTAACTAAACGACTTGAGCATTTATTACAAACGTCAGTCGTTTTCAGCGTAAATACCATCGCTATGCCTTGGCTGAAAGAGGATAACAGAAGGAACATACTACACTGTTTAATGTGTACTTCATTACACTTCAAACTATGCCGATATTCTGTCCATGTCGTGTACCGCGCACTTCACAATTTTCACACTTGAATCACGTTTGAGCCGTCTCTATTCGCTTTCACCTCAAGTGTGATAAATTCAAACAGAACGCATTCTCACAATAGCTTCAGGGTAAACGCGTTGATGCAGAGCACTTAGCAGGCAACTGTCCTTGAATTGAAATAAGTGCATTGTACCTTCTTGCAAAGATGTGGGTAGTGTGCACATACTTATAAATATAATATATTAAGATATATTGTGCATCTCAACTGTTCCACACCCTGTAAGCTTAATCACATAGACACAACTGGAGAGCGAGAGAGAGAGAGAAAGAGGGAGAGAGAGAGAGAGAGAGAGAGAGAGAGAGAGAGAGAGAGAGAGAGAGAGAAGGCTAGTTGAGACATAATAATATAATTCGATCGAATTCAGACGACTGCTAACAGTTATGCAAATACATTGTCTTAGTCTCACAAGCCGGCCTCTGTGTCTTATTTTTCTAGTTAAACATAAAGATTATATTTAGCTTTAAGTTGGCACATATTATTATTATTACTGAAACACTGAGGCCCGTTCACGTGTACTGATGAGCAGAGACGATTTGTAAGATTTTTCTGGGCATACTTTCAGTAATTCTTTGCCGATCTCGGAAGAGGAGTGCTAGTGAAAACTCTGGAGGTGTGCGACATTCTTCTGTAGAGTTCTGCTCTTACATTCTGCTCCTGTTTTGGTACTACGTATTTCAGGTATCGGTGCATGCTTTAAGTCCAAATGCTATTTGCATCTTCAAACATTAATCATTGGCATCGTTAACTGTTGAAGCACTTCCCGAGCCAAGGTTAGAACGATGTTTGAAACTTCTATATCTGGAAACAACAGCATGACCGCAGAGCATAATGAAAGACACACGAAAGCAAGTACATGTATACATGTACTCCCAAGGCAACTTTTGGTAAAGCGATTCATTTCTGTTTGAACAATTCGACAAACACATCACACCAATGATTGATTCTTTATGAATTAAAAAAATAAAAACAAAAACAAAAACTAAAAACCTCCTCATTCAACTTAGATTTAACACCTGCGCTCTTTAAAACATTCATTACCAGCATACGTCATCAATCTTCAACAGTGAGAGTTATGAGCGTGGAACCTGTGAACCGTCGTGAAGTTAAGCGCTGTGGAGCACTTCCTGATTTCATAACGCAGCCTACTCTCCCTCCCTCCCTTTTCTTTGTTGTAGGCATTTCTCAGACTGGAAATAAGAGATTTAGCAAATACTGCCGATGATTTGTTTTTCCTACTTTTATCGCACTCTGCATATACTATTTAAAGGTACAATAATAGAGTAATACAGAAAACAGTGTACTATATCCCAACCAATGATTTGTCTGTTGTATTTCATCAAATAATTCTATTACTTCAAGTAGATTTTTTAAAAACCTGAACGACAAACATCTTTGATAATTTCTATTAATTCTTGTATTCATATTTAAGGTATAAAATCCATTTCGAATAGTAGTGTTTTCTAAACCTAAGCAACAAAATACGGTGCTGTTTTGAAGTTTATAAATCTCAGACTGGACCAGTTTTCGCGTGGCTTCAACAAGATTGTCTTCTTCCGCTTAGTAGTCATCATCCACACCGCAGATAAACCAGTTGTGTCATTCCTAACAAGAACTATGATGATGATCCATTGGTTGTCATACTTCCACGGAGGAGCGAGCGGCCGCCATGCTGGAGCGAGGGGTGTTGCTGTCTCTGCTGCCACTTTGAGGGGTCCTCAAAGTCTTCATGGAAAAGAATTTCTGAGGGTTCGGTCGTCTGTGGATAAAACACAACCCCCCAAAACATATGGTTAGAATAGCTGACAATTCAGGTTCTTCCGTTCGAACTTTGAGTTCGAGAACAAAATCTAGGTAAACTGAAAACAAATAATACTAATGATAACAATAATCATAATACGAGTAGTGGTGATAAAATAATAATAATAATAATAATGATAATAATA